AATAATCATTTTTATTATCGTTATTGTTATTAATGTATTTAATTAGTTATTTGAGTATACAGCGAGTTGCAATAATTATGACCAGCATCCCGGCCACCCCCCCCACCCGCCCTGCCCAAGGGGGCCGGTATTAGAAGTTATTTGTTACGTAAATCTTTTACTTAATTTTATATTTAACAATTTTGCATGTCTGTAATGTAAGTCTCGTATGATGTTGATTACCTATAGTCAACTGATTGACCTATAGTCAACTGATAATAGTTCAAGCATAATCCTTATTCTATTTTTTATTTATTTGTATATTTTTTGACCAATTAGGCTTTTCCATGAAGCGTAATATCATTACCCTATGTATTTATTTATTTAAGGAATAAAAGACGAAATTCCGTGTTTGATACTCTGATCAAAACACGCGGGATGTASGGAGAGCACGAGAGAAGCGTAGGAAACCACGACGCGTAGCGGAGTGGTTTCCAGCTTTTCGAGTGCTCTCCCTACATCCCAAGTGTTTTGATCAGAGTATCAAACACGGAATTTCGTCTTTTATTTCTTTTCTAAAATTAAAAGAATACGAAAATTGTAAAGAATTCTGACTTTTGATGCGATATGAAACGATGAATTCTCCTTACATTGCAGCTGTTGCAGTTGTCTGAAGCTTCTGTAGCTTCTAAAACGTTTGATAGCTCTTCTTCTAGGATATCATCCCAGAGGACATCATAAATAGGCATTTGTTCGTTAATTGTTCTTGAAAATGAATGATAACAACAACAAATGCAAACGGCGGGAAAAAAGAAATTTTTGACGCGCGCGAGCGTGTTTTGATACTGTAATCAAACATGGTTTTCGACCAATCACAGCGCGCGTAGTATCCTAAATATTTTAGAAAAGTATATGTAGCATGTTTGTCAAACAAAATTTCACGAGCGAAGCGAGTGAAATTTGTGACAATTTTGAAATATCACAAGTGTTATTTATCCCAAATTTCACGTACAAAACATCGGCAATTTGAAATACCAGTCCTCTAAGCCAATCAAATTGCACAATTTTATTCAACCATTAYAAAAGTACAAAACCCGTCGCTTATCAGTACTTTTCATGATGTTGGACAGTTAACAAAGTCAAATCTTTTCACCCTGTTTGTAACAAGTTCAAAACTAGAACATTTTTTAATTTATTTGTAAGAAGGGATTGTTTAAAAAAGACAAAAGAAGATATTTCAAGCTTTCTTCTTTAATCGCCTATCAGTTAATCAATTAATTGTCCTGTAGTTCAAATGTTCCATTCAATAATAAGAAACTGACAAACCAAGGCTTCGTGCAGCTCGCGTTTCTGATGTACACACGACTAATTTCAGGSCGCTGATGTTTACGTTAGTTGGACCTTTTTTCTGATCTCCTTGGTCTGACGTTTGTCAAACTGACGTTTGTCTATTCGCGTTTGTTTTCCCTCAAAACATAGGATGACATTTCATCTGTTGAAAACGGCCTCTTTTTTTCTTGAAATATAATAACATCGTTATTACACCAGAATGGTTTTCATTCAATTTCAATTCAGAAAAATCGAAAAACGTGATCCAATGATAAAAGCCTTCGTGAATGAATCCGCGATACCTGCGGCTTTGATATGCAAATTAGCCGTGCGGTCTATACATAGATGCACCATTATTCACCATCGGATACATTTGATACACTAGCTTCTAAGCATCTTTATGTAACAGCTCGTAACCTGAGCTATTTCGGAAAACGTTGAACTGAAAATAGTGTATAGATAGTGATAGATAATGCATTGTTGGTCGTTTTATCACCGTTGAAAAGACGTTTTCGTTCAGAATGACTATATACCATCCCCGTTCGTATAGTCAAGAAATGTAATTTTATACYGTACAGCTAACATAGAATACTTCGATTTCGAGTTCTGGTTTGCTCTGTGTTAGCCAAAAAACCAAGCAACATAAATAAATAAATTTTGTTTCATTGATGGCCCGAGAAAACGCATGGAAATTGTGAAGAAAGACAAAAAAAATGATCACTTGAAATCTCACACTATTGTCACAAGCTTTAGAAATACTTTCCCGTATAAATGAGGCTAACACAGAGCATTGGAGAATTCGAAACTGTAGTATTTAATAGTAAAATGCATTGCGGTCTTAGAAGCACGAGAAGATCGACGATGCCGCATCACAGTTAGCACTGATTGAAGTACGTTGTCTGAAATACCTGCATATACCTTCGTGCCTATCAAAAGMTTTTGACGATCCGTTCCGCAGAGAAACATGTACTATTTTTTTATTAGAATTTTAGAATTGTAGCATTAAACGAATGGCTGGGTTGAGTGGACGCACTAAATCCGTGAAACAAATATTATGAGTTACTATTAAATAGAACTAATCGGCCAACGCGTGGCCCATTGTACGTTACCACCCAAGTCAAATCCTATGGGAAAAAGAACTTTTGTTACTAAGAATTCAACTGTGAAATGATCGAAATACAACAAACAATGAAATTTACTTCCGGTTGGTTTCATGGGTGAAAATTTTTATAGCAACGCGTTGGCCGATTAGACAACAGGAAACAAAGGTATTAAGTACTATTTTGGAACATGGATAAACTACAGTTTTTATTTGTAGGGGATTCAGTCTTGGCGGGAGCTTCAAAGACTTGCTCTGGATTAAATTTCGATCGGCAGTGCGGACGTGTTATTTGGTTCCAAAACAAGGAAAAAAGATATTTGAGAGTTTATCTCAGACAGGTCTATTTCAATCTCTCAAACAAGGAGCGTCAACTTCGAGATGACGACATTTCGAGGAAGCGCCGAGGAACGGGTGGCTTTAGTTTATGTTGACAATTCTTTTAAGTTTCAAGTATTTTATTGGGAGTTGAAAAGTTAGATCATCATGGAATAACATGCCAAGGTTTTCATGTGCACCATGCAAAGCCAGTACAGTTACAACAGCAGAGAAACAACATGTCTTCCACAGAATCWCTCAGTAAAAGCAAGCGTGGTCGATGTCCAAGTGCATTTCAGCAGATCCCACCCATTCACACGACTAGCAGTAAGTACCTCTTTACGCCGCAGTAAATGGTTTATATATGTATAGTTTGTGGTAAAACCCTTATATGTGTTGACTGAGAAGGAATAGACAATTATTACAAGATATTTCGATGACCGCCAATTCAATTGTTAAAACAAACCTTTCACTAATGAGCTAATATTTACTAGAAATTGGTAAAAAAGATAAGTTGCTAACTCTTCCTTTGACGTATTTAAAATTATTAAGACTTTTGAACTGAAAAATGCAATCTGATTCAAATGGCGAGATCAGTTGTTACGAGATGCGCTGAATCRTGATTCAGAGAAARGTATTGGGAATAKTGATCTCTMTTGAAAAACACTGAAATATTAATTCACAAATGGTAAATATCTTCAATATATACTGTATAGGCATGTTTGGTAAGTATGCGGCTGCAGATCAGCCGCTTGATTGACAGCTTGCCAGGTATTGTAGAGTGAAGGCACTCCTCTGTCATTACATTAATTTTTTCTCTATTGATCAGAATTGATGGAATGCATTGTGTTTTAATCTCTTCCATTCAATAATGATTTGAGGAATTAAGTTTCATTGTATAAAAATGCCTTTTYTATCAGTAGAAATAGATTTCAAACATGGTTCGCGATCTCTTTTACGCTGTGTTAGCCTCAATTGTGTGCTAAAATATTCAGAAATGTAGATAAAACTCGTGAGATTTCAAACTATTCCGATTGTCTTCTATACTCACGAATGTCTTGTATTTGCACGGGCTGTTGTGAATAAAAGAATTTATTACATGGTTTTGAGGCTAACACAGCGTAAAAGAGATCGGTTTTATTGGCACCTCCCTGTAYCATGAATAATTTATGATGTTTTGAAACTCACAAGATCAACATTATTACACCACGCTGTTACAAAAATACACAAATATAAACGCCCTTTTCTACTTTCTTCTTTTGTTCAGAGTAAAGCGATCGCCAAACAACTTAAACTATAATGAAATAGAAAGCATCTCTTGAGATATTTTTCACTGAAACTACTGGGGATTTACTTTTTTTTGGAAAAGAATTTTAGAAGTTGCAGAGATATTGTTTTTGATGTTGTTGTTTTTTTTTAAGTGATTACCGATTGAATTTTTACACAGGACACTCCCTAAGCCTGATAGGCATCTAAAACATATCTAAGATGGACAAAATACGCTTTATTTACGTTTTCGAGACAACACTTGTGAAAGATATCTGAAACATTATTTCTACTGTTTTCTTTGCTTGAATCGAGTCACCGTCGCAAGTTTCTATCATCTTAGATTGCTTTTGTTTTGTTTGCTTGTCACGGCCTAAACTTTGTTCTATTCTGATTGAAAAAAGAGACATTTTAGGCCTAGTCTACACGATGGCCTCAAATGACCGAAATTATTTTTGTAACCTCAAATTTTGATAGGATTTCGAGCAGCGTTCACGTGACGTGTTTGACTAAACGCTAAGCCTTGCCKGATGCGAATACGGATTCGCAACGAATATATTGCGAACATGCACAAGTTCGTCATCTTGCGGACTGGCTTTTAGATAACTGATTCTTATGCACAACTTTCTTTTGAACAGCCAGTCAGCCCGATGGCGGCACAATGGGTRTTTATGGGACCATTGCTGTGGTGTTTTGCTTCATCGTTGTCTGTATGACTTTCCCATTTTCTTTAGTCTTTTGCCTCAAGGTAAGCGAAAAAACGTGGATAAAAGTTRATAATTGCACGCCTTCACTCCGTCCCTTTGAAATGCTACAAATAGTTCTGTTTTCCTTTGCAGATAGTCACAGAATATGAGCGTGTTGTGATYTTTAGACTTGGTCGTACAATTAGAGGCGGTTCTAGGGGACCTGGTAGGTTGTCCGTGGTGCAAAACCGACAAGCCACAAACCTCAAGCACAAGACCTCAAGACAATCAACTTTATACGACGACAGCTCTTGTCAATAACAAAGACACRTGATGGAACTCTTTACAAGACACAAAACCAACAGCAACAACGGCTAAGTGTTTCTTTTAAGACGGCAACCATTTGATTGAACACTTACAACTTGCTTGACGAGACAAAGACGTTTTCAATGGGGCCGTAGAATGATTAAATAGAAATTGTGAACAAAATACATGTGAACTGAAAACTCTAAATTAGCTTTAAATAGTCTACATTTTTGAAAAAATATGCCGCATTATTTATCAAAAACTACCTTATTAATCACAGACATCTACGTCTTTAGGTGTATTCTTCTTCCTTCCCTGTATTGATAAGTACGAGTTTGTCGATCTGAGAACAGTATCATTTGACGTCCCTCCTCAAGAGGTAAGAGTCACATATCAGTTATTTCGTGATAAAAKTTGGTTGCGTTGATTATTGTTATACGAGGAAGTTTCATGTGGAAGATGATGATAAGCCACCGAAAATTATGCAGATATTATCAATGATGATGGATCTCATTCTAAACTGTCAATACCCTTCAGTGTCTCACCAGGGATAGCGTGACAGTGACGGTCGACGCAGTGGTGTTCTTCAGGATCGAGAATGCAACAGTGTCCATTACTAACGTCAAGGATGCTCAAGCATCGACGAGACTTTTAGCGCAGACCACTCTTAGGAACATGATTGGAACAAGAATACTGTCCGACATCTTGACAAACAGAGAGGACATAAGCTTACAAATGCAGGTAAGAAAAACCTCCTCCCTTGCCCCCTCCCCCTAAAGTCAACAAGCAGGCTAGTCTTCATACCGCCCCTATATCCTATTTTAATGTGCTCACATGTGTTTTGTGATTAAAGGCAATACTTGATGAAGCAACGTCTCCATGGGGAGTGCATGTCGAGAGAGTAGAGATGTAAGTACCGGTCAGCGGTTCCARAGCCAGTAATATATTTCAGGAATCTAATAATCTAAAATAAAATTTGAATCCATTCAGTATTGATGGCCGTAACTCAGTTGCTTCTTGAGACTAATAATAATTACTTACCATTCTCTCGCACATATGTCCTGTTCACGTTTAGTGTTTTTTTTCTGCAGGAAAGACGTTCGGCTGCCAATAGCCCTGCAAAGAGCAATGGCTGCAGAAGCTGAAGCTACACGAGAAGCAAAGGCCAAGGTAGGTGMTTKGTATTCTATCGTCACAGATCGCGAGATGATATTAGACATGGAGCGAAATTAGACGGTGGATTTTACGTCAGTGAAATGTTTGACGGGCTGATGTACAGTATTGATACCAGCATGTACACCTACTTGCAAGTGCGTACGTTGTTGCTTTCTAGGCCTTTCTATGATTTTCTAACGCACAGATTGTTTTATCTTTTAGCTAATTTGTGCCAATGGTGAGAAACAAGCTTCGRYGGCCTTACGGGAAGCCGCTGATACAATGCAAGATTCGTCAAACGCAATGCAACTCCGTTATCTACAAACTCTWAACACAATATCAGCAGAGAAAAATTCCACCATCGTCTTCCCTATTCCAGTTGATCTTATAAGCAAATACATACCTTAACATAYATATATCAAGTTAAATTGAAAGATGCGTGACACTGCAGACATATTTGATATAATTACGATATTACGTCAGTTTTCCCGCCAAAAAGTGACCGGCAGAAAACACATTTCTTCTTTTCTGTCAGCACTGGTGATSCAGTATGGCGGCTATGACTTACACATGCATCTCTGAAGGACAAACAGCTCAAGAAAGAGTGTAGAAGAGGAGCCTTGTGGGAAATAATTAGTWTACAAACATGGCTTTGATAAATTAGACGTCCGTGACCGAAGATCAAGATGGCGAACATTTTCAACTTCTACTTGACGTTATTTTTAACTAAAACAATTAAATAAGAAAAAAACCCATAGCATAAACGTTTTTATCTATTGTAATAATTTATATTTCAAAGATTTTTAAAATCGAATTTGTCATCTAAAAAAGTGTAAGCTCTTTTTTTATGACGTTAAGAGACAGCAATCGACAGCAAAACATTGAAGTTCCAAACAGATGGTTTCT